ATATCATATAACAATTTTGAATAATGTTTATTAGTAATATGGTAACACTCGTGATGCACACATTTATTAGTGTCATCCATTATACACATTTATAGAATGATAAATTATGAATTATATATAAATCATTTAAAAAACAATAATGTAATTAAAGTCATACTTGAAATATGACATGATCGGTTTGTCATTGTAATTAGCATTTAGAAACGAACCTTCATTAGAGAAATGAAGTAATTGCTGATTTATAAATTCTATAATATTCGTTCACACAGTGGAATATATTAAACAACGCCTAAACAAATATTGTTCTCGCAACTTCACTCATCATGTAATTGTGTTTCAAGAACTTTATGTAATTAAAATTAACATACATTCATTGACTGCTTGTATTTTTTTTTACTTTTTCGCTGGCGATATAATCTCAATATTTGAACAGCTTTAATATCTGTCTTGCCTAAAAAATATTTTCCATTTTAATAACTTCAAAGATTTATAGAAACTACGAATAATATAGAAATAATTTCTAATCAATAAGTCCACGGCACAAATTTGTTTTATTATTTTCAAGAAACAGGGTAAAATATTATTCTGATTCAGGCATTTTTCAGTAAATCAAGATTTGTACTGCGATGTAACTTTAAACTTTAAAATGTTTATTTATCTATGCCGATTTCCTTGTTGATATCGGTACGCATACAACGTTAATGCTGGTATGCATACAACGTTGATGTCGGCACGCATACAACGACAGATCTCTATTCACATATACGACGACTAATCACAATCGACCCGTATAGAAATGATACCATAGAGAGCGAATGACGAATCAACCATGACCGCATTTGTACGGATTTACACTTCAGTCGCGCCTTAAGAACTTTTACTTCAAAAATGAATGTATGTATGTGTTTTTTGTATAGCGAAGGAAATGCATTTATGCATCCCAGACTGGTCAAAATGTCTGGGTATGTCGGACTCAATACCGCGCGGGTATAATACCGACTACTAAAACCTCCGCTTTGTCCTTGCTTCTGGTTCCCACGGAAACTGTGTTAGGCATTACTTCGTGGGGAGAGGATCTAAAATGTTAATAATTCTCAACTCTCATATATTATACTTATCTTTAATTGAGCGATCGCCCTTTCTATTTCCATAGAACGCAGGTCAATTAGCACATCTCTCGCAAATCAGTCTATGGCGTTCCATGCAGCTTCAGTTGTCAGCATCACTTCAACAACAGTATCTGGAGTAATTCTTGCCTCAATATCTCTTCTACATCGTCCCGTAAAGCACTAAATCGCGGGCACACAAAGAACACGTGCTCAACATCTTCGATTTCGCCCAAACAATATGGGCAATCCGGCGAGCTATCGTGCATGAACAGCCGTGATCAGATAGATTTGCGTAGTGTAATAATTTACTTCTCTATGCTTGAGATTTAGCCAGACTTTGATGTCTGGAATGAGACGGTGCGTCCATTTGCCCTTCACTGCGATATCACAGTTGCTGCCATCGATCAATACTGTACTGCCGTTCTCTACTCACTTTTGACTCAGTGTTTGTCTTCGATGGTAAATTTCTTTCCTCTACTAAGGGAGGCAGAGTTCCTGAAATGATTTCTCCGATTTCTCGTTGACTGAAATGCTTTCTCCGATATTGTGCAAAATGCCCAAGCAACTCTTAAAGCACTCAGACAAGTAGGTCCTGCTATTTTCCTTGATTTTTGAGTTTTGAGAGCATCAGCCCATATGGAGATACCATATGTAAGCACCAAAGTAACCACTGATGATAGTTATATCTTTCTGGTTTGTTTTGGGCCTCCAACATTAGGCATCAGTCGAGCAAGTCTCGTCCTAACTATTGACGCTTTATGTTGTTCGCCTGTTGATTGAAGTTCAATCGAGCATCAAGCATTTCGCCAGGTAACAGATGTGAGGTTCTGAGTGATCTCTAGATTTCCAATCGTCACCTTGATGGTCTTTATTGTTCTTCTACTTATTTTTGTTGTGCTAATTGGAGGTTCATTGTTCCCATTGTATGTATGTGTGTGTTTGTGTGTGTGCGTATGCATAGATACAATTTTTCATCCACGTTTTTGGGAGCACGAAACGATCGACCGATTTAAAATATTCAAAAGGCAATCGATTCCTATTGATAGGGAGATTAGTTTCAGGCAAAAGTCGGTTCAGTCGTTTCGGAGATATATAAAGCAAAGAGTGCAGAGAATGGAAATTGAGCTTCTGAGAGAATGATTCAAAAAGTATTCAATTTGTAATGGTAGGGAGATGCTTTTGGCAAAAACAGGTCCAGCCGTTTCGGAGATACAGAGTTAAATATACAAAATGACAGTTTTTGAGAGAACAAAACATCCAATTTAAATTATTCAAAAAACTTTTGGCTTGTATTGACGAAGCAATTGTTTTTGGGAAGAACAAAAAGAAATTTATGAAATTTTCGGATTTATTTTTAATTCTAACTAAAATCCCAAAGCTCACTTATATACTTTAAATATCACTTATGATAATATATTTATAACATTTAATATTTTCAGAATATTTCAATACTACATCACTAATTTTCACTGTTTTTTGGAATTTCTTTGGAACATTTCATCAATAAAAATAAAACACTTCGTTATCTCAAACTGCCTGCCTTTTCCAAAAATTAGTCACCACGTCTTCTCATCAATACGATATTTTTAATTATTCAAATCGGTTGATCCGTGTTCACAAAATCGTCGACAAAAATTTGTATCTGCACAAACACACAAACATACATCTATTTTCTCTAAAGTATGACAAAATATTCAGACTCTTTTGAAACGTAAAGATATTAAAAAATTACATTTTCGATTTTTTTGCGATTGCTATAACTTAACCTGTCGGAAGTTAATATAAGGTAAATGTATATTTAAAAAATTTGATTATTTCAAAGTTTTTAACCGTTTCAAATTTAATTGAAAACTTATGATATTGTTTTTATTCAACTTCCAGAAGACGTAGTGTTCTGAATCTTTTGAGACCAAATTTGGAATATGTGTGTGTATGTGTAAGCCGAAGTTTGACCTTTTGTTGGCGTTTTTTCAAAAAACGGTTGAACATTTAAAATATTTAAAAGCCATTCTATGAAGCTCAATAAGGACTCCCGTTGATTAGTTCCTTTAACATCAGCAGGTAAGTGCCAAGTTTTTTGTTCCCGTTTTATCCAAAAATTCTGAATTGATTTTGAAAATTTAAAAACCGTTCGAAAGGTATCAATTGAGAATCGCGCTGATTAGTTTTTGGCAAAGATCGACCGGACCGTTTCTTTGTTTTTAAATGATATAATCTTGTTTTATTAGTAAAATTCTTCAATTTTAATAAATTAATTACACTCCTGATTACAGATTTTTTGATACTGCTTAATGTTATTATAAGAATTTTGTAAGAAAGGTGATATTATGAGAAATTAGCAGGTGTATTTTAAATTCTTCAAGTATTAACATTTAAAATTATTATTTTAAATACACCTTTCTCATTAAATTGTGATAACAACAACTTTCTTACAAAGTTATTATAATAATGTTAAGCATTATTAGAAATTATATGATAAGCAAATTTTATATCAAGGAAACTGAAGGTCTGCGATGCCAGATACAAGCGCCTACTTGATAAAGTTATAATATCAAAATATTGAAATGTAGACTTTTTGTGAAAATTTTGTTATGCTATTCTAATATTTTTTCTGCAAAGTTAATTATTAATGTTATATGTCTAATAATAATACTAGTGGGTGCTCTGCCAGAAGGCAGGTTCGTTAGGTTAGTTAAATTTCAACTCGAATTAGGGATGTATTGTATAAGAAATAGCCTACTGCCGTTCCACATGATAGTGTCTAACTGCCAAAATTAGAAACATATTTTTAAACTATATTTTCAAGTAATATTTGTTGAAATTATTATTAATGAAGGTATTAATTTTGTAGAGTTTGTACGTGAAAATTTAGTTTTTGGTAATGCATTTGAACCAAATACGCAAATCATAGCGTTCGCAACATTAAAGCAATGACAAAACTGTTAAATATAATATTTTTGTTACAAATAAGTTTTATATAATACAGGAAATACATATATTAAAATTATTCTTCGATATCATTAAGATTTAATAGATCTGCTTGTTCTTCTTGTTCTCGTTTCTGCAACTCACTAAAAGTGGCCACAGCTCTTTCTCCAGCTTCCTATATATCAAAAATATTTTCAATAATTTGCAACAAAAACATGAAAAATGATCTTAATTGTAATCGGTTTTGTGCCAAGCAAAACATTCTTTCTTAGCTTCAAGCAAAGCATTCTTTAATTAGTTATCTCTTGCTTTCATCATCAATAAAAAATATAGAGCAATCCAAACATATGCACAGTATCAACGAAATTGATAGCCTCGGTCATATATTTGCATATGTTGATAATTGGGACAAAATGAATAAATTAGCAACAATTTCATAATGTATTCAGATATAAGTACTGTAGTACTATTATATTATTTGGATAACTATAAGAGCTTAAATGGAAACGATATTTGATAGAGTTGTGTATTACTTAGTTGTTATTCAGACTTGATATTTTTATTTGCCTTCTCAAATATATAATTGAATTTAGTAATTATAATTATAATCCTATACATATCATGCGATTTTATTTGTAATTGCTAATACTATAATTTGTTTTTGCAGTATTACACAAAAAATTTAGTCATTTTATAGAATAAATAATTATTATAAATTGTAAATATATCAAAGTCGATTATAATACACAGAAAAGTTACCCGTTTTAAAATTATTTTCAAGCATTTTTAGCCCGGTCAATTTAAACCTTAAATCAGGGTGAAGGTTACAATAATTCATAATAGGCTGTAATTTGGCAAAATTGTTTAAAGTAAAATTATAAAAAAATCTTTAAAGTCCTCATCGATCGGGTGCGAGCTAAAAAATGGCGCAAGGTCAAAGGTAAAAAAAATGACCATTTTGCCATTTTTAGCTAAATGGTCAGTTTTATCGCAAATTTACATTAGACAATATTGTAGAGCATAAAATTATCCACAAAAAATGAGTCAATACTTTTTTTTGCTCAGAGCCACCGTTTTAAAGATATACCACATTGAAAAGTGTGTTTAAACGCCAGGTAATGTGCTTAGCTCGTTTTTTAGATGGTTTTCCCAGTGCCAGTTTGCAAAATAATATTTGTAAATTTGGATTGATAAAAATAAAGGCAGTAAAATAAAAAAGCATCTAAATTTATTCCTGGGAGTCATAATTTTCAAATGTTTCTACATCTTTTTCGTATCGTTTTTCTTGATCTTCTCTTTCTTCTTTTTCTTCTACACTTTGAGTATAACATTTTCCTGGTTTAAAAAAACACATAATTTGTTCAGTTGGTGTTCGAGCAGTTCCTCGCAAATAGTCACAACAAATCACGGATGAAAAACGATACGAAAAATGAATTATGAATTATTGTAACCTTGAATGCGTAAATTGACCGGGCATTCGTTGTCGACCTAGTATTAAAACTAAAGATCACAGGATGGTAATTAGTATTTTTGCCTTAGACTCATTATTACTTAATTTAATACAGATAATAAAAAATTAATGCCAAACCTGCAGATTCGGGCTGTATTCGGTGTTTTCGAATGTATCCTCCATGTCATACAGTGAACTTGCAACACTGCCTTCAGAAGCTATTGCGCAAGCTGCTAAGTCCACTGCGCCACCATCAGTCGAAGTGTTGTCGAAACGGGCAAATAAGAAGGATCTTGTAAAATATGAATATATTTTTTTAAATGTTCACAGCCACAAACTGTCAAGATTACTTTCTCACCTTCTTGCTGCAGCTGGCAATATGTTTGGTATTCCAAATTGCGGTCTATTGAAATTAAGACCAAAACCAATTTTCTGCCTTGGACCGACATAAATATAGTAAATAGTGCCCAACATTGCACAAACAGCTACCAATGTAGATAAGACGATCCATACACCGATACTATGTCCCTTGGCATTATAGTAGTAGCCGCTGGTGAAGGTACTTTTTGAACGCAAGCCGAAGTTTCCTGTAAGTCAGTTTTGATTAGGAATTCCCAACAATAATATGTTGTGCCAAATTACGTCAGATTTGAAGCTATTTGTTGCTCTAGTATCATTGCTGATAAAAATACATCCAAACCGTCGAGTCTACAGTGATTATGATTTATCTGATATTGCCCAGTATACAAATATGCTATTAGTCATACTTTTACTGATATGTTCAATAACGGATTTTTTTTTATTAATAAACAGCAATCAAAATTACATAAAATAACTGTTTTTTAATCTCGATGAATATTTGATGCATATTGCAAAAAATACCATCAACTAATATAGCGGCTTTTTAGTTTTTCTATGGATACTTATGTAAGTATATAATCAATTCAATAATTTTTTGTTTGCAAAACTCAACATTTTTGCTGATGACGACAACGAGGGGAATTTTTTACTTCACTTAGGGTACTTATAGTAATGGGCTAAAAATTGAAAATGAAATTTTTTGCATTTCTCCACATTTTGAATGTTTCTGAACATTTTGGCATTCTTCAGAAAAAATGGATGGCGTATGTGTGTATGTATGATACAATTTTTCGGCCACGTTTTCGGGCGCACTGATCAACCGATTTGAATGGTTCAAAAAACATTCGATTCCTATTGATAGGGAGATGTGCTGATTAGTTTTGGCAAAGGCAGGTCCAACCGTTTCGGAGATATGGAGCAAAAAATCGAGTTTTTGAGACATCTGAGCATCGGCAGGTTCAGCCGTTATGGAGATTAAGAGCAAAGAGCGCAGAAAATAGAAATCGGGTTTTTGAGAGAACAGAGCATCCGATTTGAATCATCTCAAAAACATTCAATTTGTAATGATTGGGAGAAGCGGTGATTATTTTTCGGTAAAGGCAGGTCCAGCCATTTAGAATTTACTGAGCTAAATATACAAAAATTGCAGTTTTTGAGAGAAATAAGCATCCGATTTGAATGGTTCAAAAAAACTGCTTGTGTCGATAAAATAATTGCTTTTAGAAAAAAAATATTTAAATTTTTTTAATATCGAATATAATTGAGATTTCAATTTTAATTTTGGTTGAAGTTCTAAAGCTATATACTTTAAATGAATAATTTTAACTTTGTAATTCAGTTTAAATAATTCTTATAAATATTAGACAACGTTACAGTATTTATAATAAATCTATTTAAAAACATTTAATATTCCTCGAACATTTCGTTACGGTACGGAAAGTTCCAGCAATATGCCTTAAAGCACGATGTCTTACACCACTAGTTTTTTTTTTAATTTTTCAAAAAAAAGAAGTTTTTTCTAAGTGAAGGTACGATAGATCTTTGCCATTTAAACGAACTAACTAATCGTCTTTTTAAATTGGAAACCGTAAAATTAATCATGAGATTTAACGCAGATCAATTCTTTCTATATCTAATAATATAATAAATAATATATTTCAGTAGATATATATGTGTACATAGCATTTCTCATTTTGGATTTTTACCCGTAGGTATTTCATCCTTCATATTTGTTCTATCAATACAATAATAAGTATTTCAGATATACAAGTTGTGACATAATTCTGTGACAAAAAGAGGAAAGAAATTTATTCCCCAAAAAAATCACTTAGCACTATTTATAATAACACATAATAACTCAAAAAGGAGAAAACAAAAAAGATTTATTCACTTTGAGGGAGAATATTTGCGTCGAGCCAAGTTTCAATTGCCGCTATGGGTCGATCAGTATATATTTTGGCATGGCGTGATTGCCATACCAAATATCATCTCTTGTGTATTGGCCGAGGCCCGCGATGTTCATATTAGGATGATCCCCACATTTTAGATAAAAATTCTCAGTGAGCTTTTTTATGTAGTCGAGTATTGTCGGTACGTCAGTCTGTTTGTGTATGTATTTTGAAGAGTAGTAATGTCTAGTCAGTGGGTCCCTTATTTTGTTGAGTACAAGTCGTAGTGTCTTATTTTGTAATGTCTGTAGTTTCCGTAAGTTAGTCTTAGTCGTCGCGTTCCATGCCGGAGCGCCGTATGTCAGTATCGGTCTTATCAGTGTCAAGTAAAGTGTTCGCTTGTTCTTCACGCTTAGCGGGCCGTTGTGGTTCAAGAGAGGTCTCAGTAGATTTAACATCCCGTAAGCCTGTCCAATTTTCGTATTAATATGTTTTGTGAAGCTGAGTCTATGGTCCAGGGTCACACCAAGATATTTGACATCTTTGGACCACTCAACTTCACAGTTTAATACTTTAATTTTGTCTAAGTCAGTCAGTCTAGTCATGGCATTTCGGCTCTTAGTAAATAAAATTGCCTCCGTCTTTTGCGGATTTATCTTGATCTGCCATTTGTCAGTATATTTCGTCAGCTTGTCTATGTGTGTCTTTGTAGTCAGTAGCGTCGGTGATCGTGATGATTTGTATATGGCAGTGTCGTCAGCAAACGTCAGTAAGGTGGTGTCGGCGTCAGTGGGTATGTCGTGAATGTAGACGTTAAACAGTGACGGTCCCAGGATCGAGCCCTGCGGTACTCCCGCCGTCACTTGTTTAACCGTCGAAAGTCCGTTGTCTACTTGTACGGTAAAGTTACGGTCTGAGAGGTATGAGTGTAATGTTCTTGTAATGTATGGTGGAAAATTCAGTTGTATGAGTTTATGTATAAGTCCGTCCATCCAGATGGTGTCAAACGCCTTCTCGAAATCAAGCAACACCAATCCGGTATGGTTTCGTCTGTTAAAATTGAGAACAGTATTTTCTATGAGTTTTGTCAGTGGGTGTAGTGTGGAGTGTCGTTCTTTGAAGCCGTATTGTGTGTCAGGTATGATTTTGTTGTGTCTTATGTGTTTGTTAAGTCTTTTGAGTAGTACCTTTTCGGCTACCTTACTCATTGTGTTGAGGAGGCTGATCGGTCTGTAGTTCTGTGGTATGTCTGGCTGTTTCCTTGGCTTCACTATTGGAAATATGGTGGAGGTTTTCCAAGAAGCGGGAAAGCAGCCTTTTGTCATTATTCTATTTATTATCCGGGTAAGTAAAATGTAGGCGTTCGTCGGCAGTTGTTTAAGTATTATGTTTTGTAGTCCGTCCGGTCCCGGTGCTTTTCTGTTCGGTAATTTTTTAACTATTGTCTTTATTTCAGAAACTGTGGCAGGGTCTATTCGTAAGTCTTTGTCCCTGTGGAGGTCAGTGAAGTTTTGAATTGTCTCGTGTACGTCTTGTTTCAGGTCTGCGTTTGACATATTGGCATTTTGTTTATGTATGTTTTCAAAGTTTTTTGCCAATATTTCCGCCTTGTCTGCTGGTGTCGTTGCGTAATTGTTGTCAGTTAATTTGAGTGGAGGTATGGATGTTGGTTTTTGCGTCAGTCTTTTTGCTGTCTGCCAAATTTTGTGTGGGTCAGTATTTATGTTCTCGAGTCTTTTGGTCCAAGTGTTGTTTCGGTGATCACGTATTTCATTGGAAATAATTTTTGTCAGTCTGTTCACATGTTCCTTGAGTAGTCTGTCACCGGTACGTTGCCACAGTTTCTTTATATGATTTTTAAGTTGTATTTTCAATAAAATGTGTTCTGGCAAGTCGTTGGCTGGTGTTGTTCTTGAGTCTAGTGTCGGTATAGTCTGTTGTACGGCGTCTGTGATTGTCAGTGTAAGGTGTGTTACAGCCTCCTCAATGTCAGTGTTGGTATCGATTGGCATAGTGTGTCGTGTGTTGTCTGTGATGATGTCTCTGAAAATTGGCCAGTTGGCTCTGGTGTAATCTAAAAATTTGCGTGTGGGGGTCTGGTCGACGTCTAGTCTGTCTGAAATGGTCATGAAAACTGGATTATGGTCAGAGTTGAAAAGTGTTCTTGTTATGGGTTCGGATGTTACGTGTAGATTTTTTGTCAATGCCAAATCGATCGTACTGTGATGGTGCGTCTGTACGGTGGCGTATCTGGTCGGCGTGTCAGGAAAGTGTAGTTGTGCGTCTGTGGTGTTGTATTCGGTCAGGTATTCGTAAAGTCTGTTTCCGTTTGCGTTGTTGAAGTTACAGTTCCAAGTTGTGTGTTGTGCGTTAAAGTCTCCTGCCATAAGAACAAATCTATTCGAGTCCAGTAGTCTTTGTAAGTCCGTATGTTTAGTCTGCTTGCCGGGATGTAAATCGATATTATGGTTACTTTTTGACCTCTCTTGTATACATTAATAGCTGTTATTTCAGAACCGCCCGCTGTCAGGTTTGGCACTTGCTCGTGTCTGATGTTAGACTTAATCAAAATCGCAGTGCCGCCCCATCCGCGTGCGTCGGTCTGTCTGTCGTTTCTGTAAACTTTGTAATTGTTGATATAGAGTCTGTCCGTAGGTTTTAGGTGTGTCTCGTTAATCAGTACTATGTCCAGATCGTATTTTGTTATCGTCTGTCTCAGTTCGTCAACGTTGTTTTTAAGTCCATTTGAATTGAAATGCATTATTTGTAAGTCTTGCGATTGGTTTATGGTGATGAAGTAAGAAAGTTCAAAATTGTTGTGTATTTGTCGTTATAAGTCATGTTTGTGTTAAGTGTTTTTGTCAGTTTGTATAGCTCACTGAAAATTTGCTTTACCTGGGGATCCGTAAATAGCTTCCTGATCTCGCCCATAGCAGTAAAGAGTCCTTCCGGAGTGTTGAGGTCTGGATCGGGTTGGCTGCAGGCAGGCCGTGTTGGTGGTTGCGATAGTGCAGGCCGGATCTGTGATGATGCAGGCTGGACCATTGTTCGTGAGGACTGGACCATTGATCTGTATGGTGACGATGGGATAGGGAGTTGAGGATATTCAGGTCGGACGTTAGGACCATTGTTGGTGGAGTTTACAGCTGACGAGAAGCTCCTCGTCAGTGGCACTGGTGTTGGTGCTGGCCTATACGCTTGTCTTCTCCTGAGAGCGTCGCTTTCCTTCTT